TATCCATTTGCACGTTTTCATCCACACTCCATTTTCAGGAAGGCCTCCTTTAGCTCGCATTCTTTTTCAGCCTGGCTTTCCTTTTTTTCCTCTTTCCGCTTCTTTCCAGAATCTGCCTATCACTTCCTGTTGTTTTGCTATCATGTTAGAGAGTACGTGCTTCAGCTCTGTTTTTATTTCAAGGCAGGAATTGCTCTGCTCTTTGTCCTGGTCCTTTATTCCTGAGCCCTGGGTGTGTGGCAGTGGCTTATTCTTTGATGATACAAGGCTGCTTTTCTTGGACCAGCTAGCTTGATAATATTTGTTAGGGAAGTGGGGCCAGAACCCCTTTCAGACCTAGTGGTTCGTTCACTTACGCCTTTCTTCTTTATAACCAGTAGGGCTAGGCAGTCCTAGGCCTTTTCAGAATTAAGGGTTTCTTCTCTTCAACTGCCATCCAGAATGGTTGCTTTGTGCAAATGTGGCTTGAGGAATGAGAACTTTAAGGATTAAGGCACTTTGTTGCTTGTATTCCTTCTCAAAACATAATTGGAAATATGGGAACTCTTGTCTCTGTTGCTGCAGTACAGCGATGTAGGTTTTGTTCTGTGCCTGACAAACATACGCGTTGTTTCTCGTGAAATCTGCAGCTGCAATATTATCTGCTCCGTTCTGCACACACTCCTGTTTCCAGGTGGGAAGACTTCTACTTAGTTTGTGACTTGGAGTTTCTGCTGGTTATTGGTTTCTCAGAAAATGGACTCTGTGTCTTTGTTTCCTATTCTTCTCAAATTATATCCAGAGGGAGAAGGGAGAACTTTTGATGATTTGCAAATTGGATGTCCACTGTACAAGGTTTTTTTATTTATATTTAAAGTTGGAAATATGGAGGTTCTGATTATTGACTTTGATTCATGTAATATGAAATAAGTGTGAAATTTAATGTATTTTTATATTTTATTCAACAACCTCTAGAGGACCTATTTGTCAGATGAAAATTCACCATATAAAGTTAAAAATAATGGATACAAAACTGTGGAAATTATTAGCACAAAAGGAAATCCCACTCCCTAAAGATAAACATTTAGTAGGTATTGTAGGAAAACTTTGAACTTTAAGAATTTTACTTGTATATGAGAAGTATATATGATTGAATCATTTAAAAACCAATAGATTTCATTTAGGGGCCAGGAACCTTTTTTATTGAATTCATTCGTCTTTTAATTGTTTAAAAGTTTCCATTTGTATAGCCTGCATTGTAGAATCAGACAGTATTTAGGTTGTACACCGGCTGATCCCACCCGAGAATGGGTAATGGTTTTCCTCTAAGAATTGTCAAGCGTGAA